CTAGATTTTTCCTACACCCCAGTTTCATCATATAACAAATGGTGACAAAATCAGTACTATCTAATAATAGTGCTTTGATTTCAGGTGCCAGTGCATGCAAAGAGAACAATTAGCAAAGTGCATGGCACACAGTAAGCACTTGATAATAACTGCTTTGTAAAAATTCTATTTCTTATTACAGTTATTTTAAAAGATGAGAGCTGTGTCATATGTTTCATTAAAGGAGTTTTTTGGTCATAGAAAAGCCTGGTGGAGGCCAGGCACCGTGGCTCACGCCTGTAATCCCAGCACTTTGGGAGGCCGTGGTGGGTGGATTACCTGAGGTCAAGAGTTTGAGACCAGCCTGACCAACATAGTGAAACCCCGTCTCTACTAAAAACACAAAAATTAGCTGAGTGTGGTGGTGCATGCCTATAATCCCAGCTACTTGGGAGGCTGAGGCAGAAGAATTGCTTGAACCCGGGAGGTGGAGGTTGCAGTGAGCCGAGACTGCACCATTGTACTCCAGCCTGGGCAACAAGAGCGAAACTCCATCTCAAAAAAAAAAAAAAAAGTCTGGTGGAAAATTGATTTAGGTTTGGGTCTTGCAGGTCAAAATTTGAGCCTCTCATCCCCTGACTTTCTCAGAAACAAATGGAACAGTGACCACTACCACCCCATCAGAAGACAAGCAACTGTGGTGGCACTGCAGAGCCAGGGGATTCCAATCCTCAGCTGCGGCTCTTACTACCGCTAATTCAGCGTGGACAAGTGGTTTTCTGTGGAATCAGCAGGGAGGCTGGGCAAATGCCACACACACTCACTTTCCACTTAAAAGATGTTGCCACAGGGACCAAGTGAAATCTCTCTTCTGATTGATGCACGATGGACAGGTGGAGGCGACCATCCATCAGTGTCAGGAAGGACCTGAAGAACCTGGCTAGTCAGGTGAAATAAAATAAATTATTTACCCATCTCAGAATCCAGCTGCTCACTTGAATACTCATACAGGGTGTGCTGTTTGCCTCCCTGCTCTTGGCAGTAGAATGTTTCAGGAAGAAAGAATTTCTGGATTGCTAGGTGTGGGTTTTTGTTGCTGTCAAAATGTGACAGTGACACCTGCTTTGTAAGGAGGGAGAGAGGGTCTTCAATTACATACCTGTGTAATCTACGTAGGATGGGAAAATGGGTTTATTCAGTGCATGATATAATACTCATGGGCAGTTTGTCTGATTGTCACAAAATTCCTTAGGACTAATTAATGAAATTTCTGGTTATAATGATAAAGACTGAACTTTGATGACAGAAACAAATGTTTTGACATCATCTCTTTTAGAAGCCCCTCTCAGATGCGACTCTACACCAGAGGGCGCCATGTGTGCCACTGGAAGCGTTCAGAAACGATGTCCCAGCCTCCAGTCGCCTCACTTCCAACAACCAGGGAGATACTTGTATGACTGTCATCATTCATGTCTACCTGACAAGTCTCTATTGTGGTCACAAGTGGAACTTTGCCAGGAGAGCCACCCCATAATCTAAGTGACCTGGTTTAATACTTTCAAGATGGTGGACCTGGAGAGAGGGCAATAGGCAAAATAAATAATAATGACAATGATAAAACACTACGATAAGCTACCACTTAGAATATGCTTCTATGGGCCAGACACTTTCATAGAATGTTAAAAGGTAAACATCATTATCCCCATTTCACACATGGCAAAAACTAAGATTGAAAAGGGAAAAGACTCGTCCAGGTGACACTGCAGGTAAGTGGCAAGGCTGGGATTCGAACTCAGTGCTGACTGACTGCAGAGCTTGGGCTCCTCCCACAGAGCCTTTTGTGGACTTCTTCCTTTGAAATAATTTACAAGTCAGGCTCTAATGTATTAAAGTTTGTCTTTTTTGCCTTTGGAAAAAAGTGGGGAAAGAAGCCCATTATCTTGGTTATGATTTCAAGATGGCACTGTTCACAATGGGGAATGAGCAGGGATGGATCTGCTCATGATGCTCATCTGGGACCTTGCTTTGGCGCTCTGTCTGGACCACAGTTGGGATACTTATCGGACTTCTTTTTTTCCTTTGAGACAGAGTCTAACACTGTTGCCCAGGCTGGAGTGTAATGGCATGATGACAGCTCACTGCAGCCTTGATCTCCCAGGCTCAAACGATCCTCCCACCTTAGCCTCTTGAGTAGCTGGGACTACAGGCAGGCACCACCACACCTGGCTATTTTTGTATTTTTTGTAGAGACGGAGTCTCACCATGTTGCCCAGGCTGGTCCTGAACTCCTGAGCTCAAGTGATCGGCCCACCTTTGTCACCCGAAGTGCTAGGATTACAGATGTGAGCCACGGCACCCAGCCTACTTATTGGCTTCTTAAAAGTAGGCCCATTCAGAAAAAGCAGGCCCTTTGCTATTGGGTAAGTACTGCAGCTAAACACAAACTGGATGTTTGAGTGGCATTCTTACTTTCACAAACTGAAAGTGTGGCCAGGCGTGGTGGATCACGTGAGGTCAGGAGTTGGAGACCAGCCTGGCCAACATGGTGAAACTCCGTTTCTACTAAAAATACAAAAAAATTAGCTGGGCATGGTGGTGGGCGGCTGTAATCCCAGCTACTAGGGAGGCTTATGCAGGAGAATCGCTTGAACCCAGGAGGCAGGGGTTGCAGTGAGCCAAAATCATGTCATTGCACTCCAGCCTGGGCAACAAAAGCAAAACTCTGTCAAAAAAAAAAAAAAGAAAAAAAAAAAAGAACGAAGAAAGAAAGTGTACATACAGAAAAAGTGCACAAATCATGAGTATATATACCATGACTTTTCCACAAAGTCTACAGACCCACGTAATCAGCACCCAGATCAGGAAGCAGACCCTTTCCAGCTTCCCAGAAGCCCCTCTCCAGCCACTACTACCATCTTACCCCTGGAATAACCAGTATCATTACTTCCTACATAAGATTATTTCCTTATATTTGTGAATGTCATATAAATGGAACCATATAGTATGTACTCTTTTATTTATTTTTGAAAACTGGCTTTTTTTTGATCACTCTTATGTTTATTTCTGAAATACAGTAGGAAAAATATCCCCAGGAGGAACACTGAATGACTTTATGATTTACGAATCAACACTAAATAAGCAATTTTACCACTTTAAATATTTAAGGTTTTTGTGAGGAAGAAGAGCTACAGTAAGTCCTCACTTACTATCATTCATAGGTTCTTGGAAACTTCAACTTTAAGTGAAATGATGTACATCATTTTATTCAATGTTGTTTTGTTATAATGTTGATAAGGGAAAAAAATCAGTTTTGTTATATGTCATTTCACTTAAAGTTACAGTTTCCAAGAATCTATTGAGGACATTAGTTGAGGACTTAATGCAGAGGGGAAAAAAAGGTGGTGTCTGTTTTGGTTCGGAGTTACTGAGTGTTGCCTCACCTGATCAGCCTGCTGGAATCACCATCATCTTAGCTAATGCTCACTAGGCACCTGCTAGAGGCCAGGCGCCTTTCTAAGTTCTCTGCACGTGCTGCGGCATTTCATCCTCATAGTTAAAAAATTATCTTTATTTTTACAGATAAGGAAACTGGGGCTCTGCTCCATTTGCCAGTGGTGCTACAGCTAATAAACGAGCAAGGTTTGCACCTGGGCCTCCAACTCCTGAGTGCGCCCTCTGAGCACTGCACTCTACTGCCTCCCAACTAACAGCTCTCACATAGGGAAGTTTACAACTGCAGGCCCCGTACTCAGTGCTTTACATGTCGGATTTCGCTTGTTCCCTATAACAACCCTGAGTCATTGGTGCTACTGATATTCCCATTCAAGCAGGATAGAATTGAGGCTCAGAAAGATTAAGATACTTGCTTAAAGTTACATGGCTGTCTATTGATAGAGCATTTAACAAATTTAAACCATTTGTGATTCTCTTGCCCATCTCTTAATCACTAAGTTGGGTAGGAACATGTGAGGAGATTTTTGAGGCCGCTCATGAGTTATCCAGGTTCAAACTAATGCCAACATTGGACAATATTATATTATGACAAACATACAAAGCATTTGTGAGAAACATGAAATAAATGAACCTTGGAGTTAAAAGGAGACATAGGAAGGGGTGGTGTGGCAGAGACAGGGTGCAGCTCAGCTCCCTGACTGGGTGAGCCTGGCATGACTACCCATTCTTCCTCTCCCTTGGCCATTATATGGGAGACCCGTTATTAAGGAGCAGGTGCACCTGAGTTGGTTGGACCAGGGTTTGCTCCTGGCACCACAACCTACCCACTGTGTGAGTTGGGCATGAGACTTGACTGCTCTGTACCTCATTTACCCCCCGTTAGAAGGGGACAGTAAGAATACCCCACCTTTTAGGTAGTTAAGTAGTACATGTAAAGCACTTAACACAGTGACTAATACATAGCAGATACCTATAAAAGGCAGCGATGATGATGATGATGATGATGATGATGATGATGTATTAATAGTACGTTGCTTACTATGACACTTTTCCTACTCCTGTTCGGTTTAAGTCAAAACAGAAATTTAGCACATAATTAGAACAAATTAATCCCAAATATTAGTTGAAAGTTCCAAATTATATGATGAAGATCCAAATATACCTTCTGAGATCATTAAAAAGCTTCCTGAATAAAGGCCTGAATGAATAAGCAATGAGTTAGCTGAGTAAGAACAGGCAGGCGGCACCGTCACAAAGCAGTTCTAAGGATAGCAGGCAAGAGAATTACAGAATGAAAAGAATTATGGAACTTCACTGAAGTCAATCAGTTTGAAAAGAGTCTCAAGTTAGTTCTACTTCTAATCTTCTGCTTCATAAAAAAGAGGACAAGACAGAGCACTCAAGTGGGAAAAAGGATGTACTTCAAATTTCATTGTTTAAACATTTTCTCAGAAAACAAATTACCTTTAGTCATTCAGGTCACATAAAAGTTGTATGTTGTTTCTTTCCCCATTTCTACATTGACTGCTGACATGACGAGCCAGCTCATCATCTGCTCACGCACTTACCTAGCTGTACGTCGGTTGTGAATCGCAGTCTGTGGATCATGCTGACTTTGAATGACTTGTAATGGTGGCTGCTAAGCATATCCTGTACTGTGGCTATGTCAATTTGTGAATCCTCCTCAAAAACCCCGTCTGCCCTTGAACCTGGGGAGGAAAAGGCAGTTTAACACATAAAGATACATGAGGCTTGGCAAATGGTGTCTGCTTAAAATGCTTTGGGATAAATTAAAATAATATGGGTTATTTAATTTGGAGAAGAAAAAGCTGAGTGATGACTTAATAATGCCATTCCAGTACACAGAGAATGGTAACATATTAATCACTCAACAATTAATTCCACAAACACTATGGCAGGTCCTTGGCTGGGCAGCAGGGATACAAGGATAGAAAAATTCCTGCTTGTTCTCAGCAGGAAGCTCAGTCCACAAGAGTGAGTCAAAACCACAAAAGCATGGGTGGTGTTAGCCGTATCACGCTTCTTGTTTTTTTCCAAATGTGATTTTCCTAATCACCAAAGTAATCCACATTCCTTGAAGAATCTCTGTCCTTTCCAAGACTCCCAAACCGTCTTCTTTACTGCCTCTTGCCCTGCGCCCCACAGCCTCCACTGGCTCAGGGGGCACCTGCTGGTGCTTGGGTGTGACAGCCCCATCACTGGCCTCCCGGTCACCAGGCTCCCCCACTGCAGTCCAGCAGTCACAGACTTTCTGATCCGTTTTGCTAAAGGTTGGATCGTTGATTCATTCACCAAATGCTATGAGAGCACCCTGTGCATGCTGAGCACTCTGATATGTGATACTGGAGACAGATAAGGAGCCTGGCGCTCAAAAATCTTCCCTGGCTCCATGGCCTCCTGAATGAAGAACACGTTTTTTTAGCCAGACAATCACAGCAGCCCATAATGTACCTGAAACATACTAATATTCTTCTCACTTCTCACATATGCCTTCTCTCAGCCCTCTCAAACCCCTCAGACTGCACAGTGCTTCAGGGTTTTAAATTCTGGGCCTTTGCTCACGTGCTGCCCTTGCCCTAGAACAGCCCTCCCATCCTTACCCAGACCTGTAGAAATCCCCCCACCCCTCCCTAGGCTAGCTCAAACTCTATCTATCCCGTGAAATCTTTTCTGATGGTCCTTACTGGCAGTGAATTCCATAAAAGTTGGCTTATACTGGACCCTGATAGTTGTGGCTACAACTCCTAGCTCTGCCTCTAATTTGCTGTATGATCTTGGGCAAGTGACTTTATCTCTCTGAATTTCAGTTTTTGCCATTCACATCAAAATTCAGGTAAAGAATACATATGCTTCAAAAGAGCGGTGATTATTTTTCTTCTAGCATCAGACTGGATTATATTCAGCCTCGCACTAGAATTGCTTAGTGGTTGCTCTGTCCTAATTTGGAAGCTCTGTGAAGGTCAGGAAAGTTTCTTACTCATCTTTATATCTTCCGCAAGCAGTAAAGGCAACTGGTATGCTCTCACTAAATTTTGCTAAATAAATACTAGCTAGTATATATGAGTGCCTACCATGTGCCAGGCTTGGTGTTAAGCATTTCACACGTTATTGCATTGAAGGTCTTATAATTTTCCATATTACAGATGAGAACTCTGAGGCTTTGGGAGGCTGTCACATGCTAAGGTTACATTAAGCAAAGTTAAACTATCTCTTGGTCCCTGGGCTTTGAAATATGGACTTCTGCAGGTGCAGCTGCTGGTGCCATCACCAGTGCAGGGGTAGAGTGGGTTGGGAGGAGAGAAGCCTATCTCGCAGAGGCTGACCAGAGTAGGGTGCTCTAGGCCTCATGTTGAGCACTCAGAGAGGGTTCCACAGGGAAACCCAGAGAGAACTCTTTGGGATGGAGCTGGGGGAATGGAAAACTCTAGATTTGGGTATAAAACTGGAAAATTTTGTGACCCACTGGTAGCCTGACAATGATAAGCTTTTCCTTCCCACAATTACTGTTTATGGGGCAAGTATTTTAAGTCAAAGTTGGTGTCTGATGCTTTCACAGTGAACTCATTTATTAGGAAATTTGTGTTCTATTTGCAAACACTACAGTAATTCCCAACCTGGACCATCCCAGCGCCCACAATAGTGCTTTCCTTCAGTAAGGAGGAGGCCTTGCCCTTCACTAAGTGTTTCTGGCAGAATCCCATCTCAAAGTATCTTGCACATGCTGTCCTCCTCTCTGCCCAGGTCACCCTTCTCCCCATCTCACTCTCTCCCGGCCCCTCCCTGTTTTCCTCCTGAAGAGCAGAGCACCAGTGACACTTCAGGGAAGCCTTCTCTGGCCACAAGCCCCCGACACTAGTTTGGTTCCTTCTGTCCCCGTACCTTACATTTTCCTTCAGAACAGTTATCACAAGGAGTAACTGCCAGTCTCTGCCATTAGACTGTAAACCCCAAGAGCACAGGGACTGCTTTCTTATCACTGCAACTCAGACACTGCAACTCAGACACTGCTGGTGCTACCACTCAGAGGATAAAGCAAGCGTTCAATAAACATGTACTGAATACCAGCTTCCATGTCCACAGGAAGGTGAGGGTCAGAGAGACAGAGTGACTTAACCAACATCACACCTCCAGGACACTGCAGAGCTTCACTCCACATCTCCAAGGGCCACTGGGTAGCCCGTTTCCTTTCCTTGCAGTGCCTGTGATTTTGGACAGAGATGCCATGATCCTGATTACCACTCTCTCCTGCGTAATATCCACATCCCAAACTGAGAGGCTGGCTAGGATTTGGAGTTTAGAATAATCATTCACTTTTTCCAGTCTTCATTTTTACTGAAACATAACTGTCAAAACATGTTTTATTTCTACTTTAGAACTTCTTATACATGAGAATTACAGAGTATTTTGGTAAAATATTAAAATCATTTAATGTTTTAAAAATCATTTCAAGTCATCTTTTCTGAGAAAATGCTATTATTAGATACAACTTAGCTCTGAGCTCAAGAACTTCTGTTTGCTTTACTAATTAATGTTTTCTAAATATTGCAGGTATTTGATTTGGAAAGAGGTAACAGCTCATTATGCTAAAATGCCAATTACTAAAAAAAAAAAAAAAACCCACACTTAAGATTTTTACATTTTATGATGTTGGATTAAAACCAATTTAAAAATTACTATAACGTGACATATAATTTTTTACTGAGCAATTTCAATGCCAGCTGCTAATAAAGCATCTTAGCTATAAATGATAATTCAGATGCTTTTAGATAAAGTGGTGCATAAATATGGCTGGAAATTGATTTAGCTTCTTACAGAAGCTACTGAAGAATGACATATTTTGTTTAATACACCAGCTAATGTAGTCCTAAAAGCTCAAACAAGTGCCAGTTTTCACTCCTAAATTTGCTGTGGGAGATTAATGAAAACTTTATATTTTGCTGAAATGTTAATAATGGGCAGATGAGATGATAGGATTTTAGTAGAGGTCTTAAAGCTATGAAATAACCAGCAAGGCTTGTCAATATCCTTGTATTAATTTTGTACAAGACTTACATAGCTGGAGCTGGCTCAACCCACTAATGCTTCTTGCATTGACCTTCTACTATCTGATAGTGTAAATTCGTATCCCATTTGAGGACTTAAGTCCGCCGGGTACCTGGGGGAGTTCTGAGCCTTGCCCCAGCCGACAAGGGGCATGTTTGCATTTATGATCAGAAGGACAACAGCACCTGAAGGAGTGGGGAAGGAATAGTCCTGTACTCGCCTCCAGTTCATGCTGCTCACTCCAAAGGAGGTTATCTGATGAACGGGATCAACTGTTGGTTTTGGAGTTCCAGTGTTATTTCTTTCTTTCTTTTTTTGAGACAGAGTTTCGCTCTTGTTGCCCAGGCTGGAGTGCAATCATGAGATCTTGGCTCACTGCAACCTCTACCTCCCAGGTTCCAGCGATTCTCCTGCCTTAGCCTCCCGAGTAGTTGAGATTACAGGCGTGAGCCACCATGCCCGGCTAATTTTTTGTATTTTTAGTAGAGACGGGGTTTCACCGTGTTAGCCAGGATGGTCTCGATCGCCTGACCTCGTGATCCGCCCGCCTCGGCCTCCCAAAGTGCTGGGATTACAGGCATGAGCCACTGCGCCTGGCCGAGAAGACATTTTTAGCAACTCAAAGTGAAAAGTAGAGAGAACCAGAACATCTTAAAAATAAACATACTGAAAAAACAAAAATTACTGCCTGTTAATTTAATTGAAATATAATCCATTGGTATTTTGTTAAATTAGCAATTAAAAAGGTCACAAGCAATTAAATGAAACAAAAGCCACACTGTGTTCATCTACATTAATGCTGAACTGGGTCTCCTCGTGAATGACAAGATAAATTGTTATGGTGCCTTCAAAGACTTCACAATGTATTTTGTCAAAGTCGGGAGTGTTAATGTCTCTATATGCCATGGATTACCATAATGTATTGTGTCAAAATGCTCAAGCCGCAATAACTCAAAGATGTATTGTGATAGATCAAATTTTGGGGTGGGGCCTAATAGTGACTTGAGCACCACATCTCAAATGGGCTGACAACAAGGCTCCAGAAGAATGACAATCACAAGGTAGGAAGGTATGGAGGACAAGCAGAAAACCCAGGAAGGGAAGGAGCTTAATTCTCGGGAGTACAAAATCAGGAAAGGGGAACTGAGGAATGAGGCCTGGCACCTGTCTTCAGTGAAGAATGGCAAAAAGAGGCCACGGCAGGCAAAGGGAAGCAGAGAGGAGTTGAGGAAGGAGGCAGGTGGAGTCTAGGGCCTGCAGCCAAGAAAGAGAAGGTGCTGTGAGGCAGCCAAGGGCTGGGAGGCAGCCTTGGGGCTTAATAACATTAGAAAGAACATGGAATATAAGAGTTCAGAGATAGAGATTCAAACTCTCACTCAAAGTGTCAAGACTGGGTCAAAACCTTGCCCAGAGTTCCACTGTTGGGAAAGGTGAAACCGGGACAGATCTGTTGGATTCTGGAGTCCATGTGCCTTCTTTCCCTTCCCTCAAGTGGCTAAAGGTTGTTCCTGTCCTGCCTACCTCACCGCGCTCCTACAGCAACAGCACTATAACAGACTGTTGAGTTGCATAACTGTAAACTCTAAATCGACCTATGGTGGTGGTGGGGGGGAATTCCCAAGTCCCCTTCAGGGTCCATAATTGT